GGTTTTTTTCGGGCTATATGGCCATGTTCTAGAGGCATTTTCTACTGACATTTTGCCTGCATCTATGGCAAGCACCTCACTACCTCTGAGGATGCTTGCCATAGATGCAGGCGAAACGTCAGGAGAAAATGCCTCTAGAACAGTGTTTCTCAACCTGGGGGTCGGGACCCCTGAGGGGGTCGCGAGGGGGTGTCAGAGGGGTCACCAAAGACCATCAGAAAACACAGTATTTTCTGTTGGTCATGGGGTTCTGTGTGGGAAGTTTGGCCCAATTCTATCGTGCTCGGGTTCAGAATGCTCTTTGATTATAGGTGAACTATAAATCCCAGCAACTACAACTCCCAAACGTCAAAGTCTATTTTCCCCAAACCCCACCAGTGTTCACATTTCAGCATATTGTCTGTGCCAAGTTTGGTCCATATCCATCATTGTTTGAGTCCACAGTGCTCTCTGGAATGATTGTTGTTCATTCGTTCAGTCGTCTCCGACTCTTCGTGACCTCATGGACCAGCCCACGCCAGAGCTCCCTGTCGGCCATTACCACCCCCAGCTCCCTCAAGGTCAGTCCAGTCACTTCAAGGATGCCATCCATCCATCTTGCCCTTGGTCGGCCCCTCTTCCTTTTGCCTTCCACTTTCCCCAGCATAATTGTCTTCTCTAGGCTTTCCTGTCTCCTCATGATGTGGCCAAAGTACTTCAACTTTGTCTCTAGTATCCTTCCCTCCAACGAGCAGTCGGGCTTTATTTCCTGGAGGATGGACTGGTTGGATCTTCTCGCAGTCCAAGGCACTCTCAGCACTTTCCTCCAACACCACAGCTCAAAAGCATCGATCTTCCTTCGCTCAGCCTTCCCTAAGGTCCAGCTCTCACATCCGTAGGTTGTAGGTGAACTACAACTCCCAAAACTCAAGGTCAATTCCCACCAAACCCTTCCAGTATTTTCTGTTGGTCATGGGAGTTCTGTGTGCCAAGTTTGATTCAATTCCATCATTGGTGGAGTTCAGAATGCTCTTTGATTGTAGGTGAACTATAAATCCCAGCAACTACAACTCCCACAGGACAAAATCAATACCCTCCCCCAATCCCACCAGTATTCAAATTTGGGTGTATTGGGTACTTTGTGCCAAATTTGGTCCAGTGAATAAAATCCATCCTGCATATCAGATATTTACATTACTATTCATAACGGCAGCAAAATGACAATTATGAGGTAGCAACAAAACTAATTTTATGGTTGGGGGGTCACCATAACATGAGGAAGCGTATTAAGGGGTCGTGGCATTAGGAAGGTTGAGAACCACTGCTCTAGAACATGGCCATATAACCCGGAAAAACCTACAACCCAATAGGAAAGTTCTTCAGTAGAAGTATCTTTGAGATGTCCTGAAAAGACTTAACCTCACCTCCTATGATTGCATGGCATCGAGCCATGGAAAGTGGTGTCCAACTGCATTCGTTCCACAGTGCAGATGCACCCCCAAAACACACACAAGAAGTGTGTGTTTCTGCCCCACACACTTTTTACTCATTAGCCAGTTAATGGACAAATCCCAGTAAACACATTACTAATGCATTCACTAATGCAAAAGCCATTGGGATTATAGAAAAACCCTCTGCACTTTCAGATGCCTCCTTATTTATCTTAATTGATCTGCAGCAAATCTGTTAAAAGCGACTTTCCTTTGAGGGTCAAACCAAGCGAAGAAAAGCTGCCACTTGCTCTGCAGGGAAGCTCTGCTGAGGAGCCTGGTCTTGAAAGGAAGGTTTTGGATCACAAACAATGAAGGCAGCCTGGCATGTCCGGAATGGCCCGGCCGTGGCTCTTGCATGAGGACGTCCTGACATCTTTAATGCCAGCTAATCTCAGAAGGAGGCAGGGAGAAGTGGAAAGGCCGGTCCTCCAAACCCTCTCCTACCTTCCTTTCAGGGCTGAAAGGAGTCACTTGGCTGGGTTGTTGTAGGTTTTTGGGGCTATATGGCCATGTTCTGGCAGCATTCTCTCCTGACATTTCGCCTGCATCTATGGCAAGCATCCTCAGAGGTTGTGAGGTCTCACAACCTCTGAGGATGCCTGCCATAGATGCCTGCCATAGATGCAGAAATGTCAGGAGAGAATACTGCTAATACATGGCCATTTAGCCCCAAAAACCTACAACAACCCAGTGATTCCAGCCATGAAAGCCTTCGACAATACAGTCACTTGGTTTCTCCCTTGTCTTGACCGCTGTCCCCTTGTCTTGACCTCTGAACAGGGGCTGCACTTTGTCCAGCCTGTTTTGAAAGGTGAAAAGGTTCACAGTCAGCTCTCCATCTCTCCAGATTTTCCATCCATGGATTCAACCATGCTTGACTTGAGAATATTCCCCACCAAAACATTCCATACAGCAAACCTTGATTATTATTGTTTGGTAGATTGTATCTCCATATAAGATCTTGCCTGGAGTGTCTTCAAGTCATTTCTGACCTATGGCAACCATTATTATTATTATTATTATTATTATTATTATTATTATTGACTCAAAAACACAGTATGTCACAGCAAATGAGATCTATATGCTGCATTTCGTATCACAAAATCACGTCGAACACTTCCCAGGTGTCTAGGACTGGGTGATGTATTTTCGAATTATGTGTGCAGATCCAAGTCAGGTGGCCTTTTGCAGTTGACAGATTGTGATTTTGTCAGTGCTTTATTATTATTATTATTATTATTATTATTATTATTATTATTATTATTTGAAACACAACAAGATGAGTCCACAGCAGACACTCTGCTGGCTGTTGTATTGGATCACACGTCAGACATTTCCCAAGTGTCTAGGACTGTGTGATGTATTGGCGAATAATGCATGCAGATCCCAGTAAGGTGGCCTTTTGCAGCTGGCAGATGGGAATTTTGTCAGCGCTGATTGTGTTTAAGTGCAGGCCAAGGTCTTTAGGCACTGCACCCAGTGTGCCGATCACCACTGGGACCACCTTGACTGGCTTGTGCCAGAGTCTTTGCAGTTTGATCTTTAAATTATTATTATTATTATTAGTATTATTATTATTATGTTGTTGTTGTTTTTGTTGTTGTTTTTGTTGTTGTTGTTGCCATTATATATAAAGATACGTATTTTACTGCACCATTGTATCTAATGAGACCTAAGCATCCATGGATGTAAGCCCCAGCAGATACCAAGGACCCAGAATATGCATGTACTTCTTTCCTCCCTTCCTTTTTCCTCCATCCTTTTCTTCTCCTATTTCTACTCTCCCTTCTTCATCATCTTCTCCCCCTACCCTCCATTACTTTCCTCCTCCTCCTTTCCCCCCTTCTTCCCTTCCTCTGCCTCCTTCTTCCTTCCTTCTCTTTTTCTTCTAGTCTCCCTTCTCTTTTTTCTTCTTTTCCTCCTCCTCCTTTCCTCTTGCTCTCCCTTCTTCCCTTCCCTCCCACCCTCCCTCCCTCCCTCCCTCCCTCCCTCCCTCCCTCCCTCCCTCCTTCCTTCTTCCTTCCTCCTCTTCCTTCTTCCTTCCTCCTTTCACGTCCGTCATGCAGTCCTACTTCAGTGCCTGTAATAGGGGCATCACCTTAATGACTTACCATGCTATAACTTCCTTCACCATCCATCTGTCCTTCCTTCCTTCATCTGTCTTCCTCCTTCTCCTCCGTCTTCCTTGTCTTCTTCCTCCTCCTTCTCCTTCTCCCTCCCCTTCCTCCTCTTCTCCTCCTTCTCTTCTCCTCCCTCCATCCTCAGTTTCCTTCAGGAGTCCTTCTCCTCCTTCTTCCTTCCTTCTTCCACTCATTCCTTCCATCTTTCAGCCCTGGCGTCTGTCAGTCCGTACTTACTTACTGAACTTCCTTTCCTTGCATGGCATTCCTTTCTCCTTTCTCTTCCTCCCTCCTTCCCTCCCTCCCTTCTCCTTCCTCTCATTCCTCCCTCCCTCCCTTCCTCCCTTCCCTTTCCCTCCTCTCCCTTTCCTCCTTCCTCCCTCCCTCCCTCCGTTCCTTCCTTCCTTCTTCCCTCCCTCCTCTCTCTCTTCCTCCCTCCCCTTCCTCCTTCCTTCCTTCCTTCCTTCTTCCTTCTTCCTCCTTCCTTCCTTCCTTCCTTCCTTCCTTCCCTCCCTTTCTTCCTTCTTCCGCTTGATATTCGTGGAAAAACTACACTCGAGCAAACAGTAGATTCAAAGCAAATAAAGAGTTTAAAAGCAATGCTACCACGTTTCTCAAGTGGAAAGGTAAACACCGCACGCTGCTGCAAATTGAGGAAGCTGTTTTTACTGCAATGCCTCTTGCCACCTTGTTGCATTCTACCGTGTTAATCTTTGATCCCTTTTACAATGAGAAGGCAAACACAATATTTTCTCCTAACCTTGCATTTGATCTTGTTAGAAGGAAAAGTGTCTCGTCATACTTTACTGCTGTGAAGGTGTTTTCATCAGAGGGGCATCTATACTGTAGAATTACGGCGGTTTGGCACCACTTGAACGGCCATGGCTCAATGCTCTGAGTTGTAGTTTTACAAGGTCTTTAGTCTTTGCCAACGAGTACTGGTGCCTTACCAAAGTACAAATCCTAGGATTGCATAGCATGAAGCCTTCGTCACAAGTACAGCTGGTGGGGACGAGAGACAGGGCCTTCTCAGTGGTGGCCCCTCGGCTATGGAGCGCCCTCCCTAGGGATATCAGATTGGCCGCCTCCCTTTTAACATTCCGGAAAAGAGCCAAGACTTCGCTTTTTGAGCAGTCATTTGCAACCACAGCATAACGTACATAGGAAAATGGAATGATTGGATGATGTGACTGGACAATGTTTTAACACAGACCCTAATGATATATGTTTTTATTGAATTTGCTATGGTTTTATATTATCTTAATCTATGCTGATGATCGTGCCATTACCACTCCAGCAGGGAGCTTTGAGATGGCTGAACAGAAGCTGTGCTGGTATAGCTGTACCAGGAGCTCCAACTTTATTTTCTTTCTGTTTGCAGTCATAGGGCAGGCCTCCTGTCCATCATAATTAAGCTTTAGTTCCGCACCTTGTTCAGGGCTCTGGGAGGGAAAGGAGCCATTTTTTGGGCAGTCTCACATAAGGAAGCTAAACTATAGGACGTAGACCAGCTCGTCCCATAGAAAAGCTTCTTTTCTCAAGAACATCCGGGGAAACAGAAACAGAAATTCCAGGGAAAAGGTCCCAAGGCTCTGGCTGAGAGCTCACAGCC